GTACCGGAGTCCCTATCAGGCAGGCAGAGAATTGTGCTCAGTACTGCAGAAAATTCAGGCAAATGAATTTGTTCTTTCAGAGCCTGTGTATATTTAGACAATTCCCACCATCCCCCTCTCCCCAAATATGTCAAAGCAGTTTCACATTTTGGTGGATTAATTCTTCTAATAGAATGCTATTAAAAGGCATGTATTGTAATAGAGGGGTTACTCTTTTTTAAAACATATGGTGCAGTAATTCTGTGTATACTTTAAATATGAATTATGTGAGACATGGGGTTTCCCCTGCCCTCCCACGTGAGAGAACTCCAAAGAACTTGGAAGGTGGCTTCCCACAAGAGGTATCCACAACTCAGAAATTATATAGGCATTATCGGAGGTTATGTTCCTAAAATGGTGATTTCACAGTCTTTCTAAAATACCAGAAGTGATATTTTGGAAAGAAAAAGAGGGTATAACTAAACATTTGTCCCTTGTGATATTTCTGTTAGGGCCAAGCCTAACCCACTGCCATCAAGTTGATTCCAACTCATAGCGGACCTACAGGACAGGACAGGACAGGACAGAAATCTTTCCTCCCCACCCTCCATCCCCCATGACTCAATGGTTTGTTAAGTTGTAATGCCAATGAGAAATGCTCAGAGTTGAGTTGTTTATCAGGACGCGTTACAAAGTTCTGTCAAGTCAAGTCTGCTAATAAATGTCCAAAGGACAGACCGCTCTGCTATAAGCCACAATCGGAAGGCATTCACCTTACGTTCTGTGGAGCAGCAAACCCAGCTCCCTGAATTTAGTGCCCAGAGGCACGACACCCCAGTAAGCTCAGCCCACAGGCACTGAGCTGCACTTCTGAAGGTCAGCAAGTACAACTTCCTCAGTGAAGTACCCAGAGACACCCTACTCCCCAAGCCAGCCTCCTGCACAAAAGCTGGACTGTAACTTGTAACAGGAGTAGAGAGCCTCAACTTTATCCTGCAAAACAGTATAACAAAATATTTGAATATCGTATTGTCTTGTATTGCTGAAGAAACAACGGTTTAGTAAAAGAAACGCCTTGTGGGAGGCAATTTATCTTGGGAAGCGATCATTATCATTGTAAAACTGTCAAAAATTTCAACGAATTGCTGGGGAAAAAAACCCCAAGAAACCTTTGTATGTAAGAGTTCCCTCCTTCATCCCCCGTCCTTTGCCCATCTTAAAACTTGTCTCTCATTCTATGGTGCTCACCTTCCCAATACAATTGCTGAAGACAAC